TCTGTTTTACACGGGAGGAAAGATCAAGACCCAAAGGATAGAAGGACAGGATGAATGAGGTGGGTGGCCCTGTGTTAGGGGCCAGTGGCCCTTAGCATTTCTTAGGTGCCAGCTGCTTCCTCAGTCAGCTAATGAGCAAGTCTGATTTCTCTTTCTGGAAGACCTAGCCCATGAGTCTGACCTTTGGGCTAATTGTAAGCATAAAGCAGAAGTTGGGACATTCACCGTGAGGATCTGTGACTGACAGGCAGATAAGAGAGGCCTCTACTCAGGACCAGCCTTCTCTAGGACACATTTGGTCACTTTGCTCATGTTTGTGTTCTAGCATCTGTCACATTGTACTGGAGATGATATGTTTAGAGTGTCTTTTATTTCCTAGATTGTGAGCCTCTCAGGTCAGGAGGAGTCCTGTCTTATTCAGTGTATGAGTGTATTCACATCGCTGTGTTGAATCTAGTCTCAACAGGCCAGTATGTTGGACAATATGAGTGTTCACATGTGTCTTATCTGGATGGTGTCAGACAGGTGTTTTATTCTCTTTAAATAATTTAAGTAATGAGCACGAGTAAGAAGACATTCCCTGAAGTGTTTTGTTTAAAATTCAAGGCATGTAAGACAGACAAAATTCTTGGTTTAATTTAGTTTTCTTCCCCTATTTACCTTTCTGACCAACAAATATTAAAAAACAAAAAAACAAAAAAAACCCACTCACTACCAACAAAACGAAACACAAGTCTGTTCCTTCTGGAAAATAATTATGCAGAATAATTTTCCCTTAGAATTTGTTTTAACTTTTTGCAGCAAGAGGGTATTCATCCAAGAGACAAAGCACAGTGTGGCCTGCCATATTTTTGTAGTTTGTGAAGGATTTTAAATACAGACATGGGCTTCTTCAGATTCATTTCATACTTATTTGTTACTAGTTGGCAGCAAAACACAGGAATAAATGTAACGTAAAATGGTTTCTCATTCCAACTATTGTTTTAGAAGCTCTTTCCTAAGTCCTTTTGCATAAAATTACACTTGCTGTGTGTTTATTATCCCTTAAAAATCCCTAAATCCTTACCAAAACAGTTTACCCAAATGTTTAAGTGAGGACTTTATCTACAGAAGTGAATGTTTCTAATTCTCTTACACTATGGTTTTCTGGTAACTTCTCAAACAATGCTCCCTTAAGCCTTCCACAGAAACCATATACACACCTACCGTGCCTTTGCTAGTATGTGAATTCGGGGGAAAGTTGTTGTGGTTGTGAAATAAGGTGTAGCTTTACTTTAAAAAGGAGCTTTAGTATAGACTCAAAGAGGCCGACAGAAGAGCAGTTTAAGAAATTTATGTCTAAACAGGGCATTTTTCTTCATTATTGGGGATTCATTTTAATTAACATTTTTTGTTGTGATTCCCAGTGTAAAAGGAAATACAGCCTCAAACCCTTACTGGGTTTATCGCAGTGTGATGCTTTTCAGATTCTTGTTTCGGCCGCCGTTGGCTTTGATTTACTCGGTCCGCTGATCTGTGGTCAGAAATGACGTAGACATTGCTGCCGTGGCTGCACTAAAAAAAGTGCCCAGATTGTATTGATGGAAGTAAATTCCACTGGCCTTGGTGTACTTGCCCTAAAAGGGTCAATATATTTGCAGTCGATATTGTAATTTGACACATATGTTCTCATAGCCTGAAGTTTTACCTTGAGACACTCTTCAGTTAAGTTTGTTTATTTTGGCGTTGAGTATTGACATCCCTCCCTTTATTTTTATGTGTCTCTTATAAGCTGCCAACCCCAGCCGCTGCTGCTTCTCAGTGGCTTCCTGTCCCTTGGTTGACATCTCTGATGTCCTTGACTGCTTCCCTTCCTCCTCCTCTGCCTGCGATTACTTCGTTTCTCTACACGGGAGACGTCGGTGTAGCCTACAGTCCCATCTTTGCCTTCTTCCTTTGCTTCCACTTTTTCTGTTCCCAGGGCGTTAGCCGCCTCTCGTACGTGAGCTGTTGACATCCCAGTCTCCATCTCCTGTCTTGGACTCCAGGCCCATTTGCCCAACTGCCGACTAGATGCCTTTACTTTCAAGTCTTCCTGGTCCTACTCAGCATGTACAGAAGCCAAGCTCCTCATGTCCCCTTCAGCCGCCTCCTGTGTTCGCTGTGTATGCAGCCTAAGGCGGTGTCTCCAAGCCACCTACTGACTTTCATGCCCTCAACTCCCACATCCAGAGAGCCGGCAAATCTTGTGTATGCTGTCTTCCGGGATCCTTTACCCAGCCTTGCACTTGAGCCAGTCTATGTTCAGGCTCCCAGCAGGCCCCATCTCAGGACTGCAAATGTTCTAGCTGACCCTCCCAGGGTCCCCACTGCCTGCCTGGGCAGGACTGGCTTGCTTCCATCTCGTACTTCCGGACCCTCACCTCCTAGCCTCCAGTGATACTTAGAAAAGTGTTTGGAAATAAAGTGAGGTAAATGACTCAGTTCCCTCCTGTAACAATTAACAGTGTAGGTGGGTCCAGGACAGTTATAAAGAATGGAAAATTCAAGATTCATCACAAGTGGATGTTACGCCTTCATTTCTCGAGAAGCAGTGCCCCGGGCCTGTTCTGGTAAAGGGAACCACAGATTTACAAACTTACACCCAGGTGGAGTCATTTTTTTTTTTTTTTAAGTCTCCTGTCTTACTTATGGTAATTTTAAAACATTAGATCTGTAACTGTTCACAACGTATTGCTGAAATTATGTTAGGCGGTATTCTGTCAAATATTCTGAGATGGTTCTATTCTGGGCAGGATCACAGTGATTCTTTTTAACCCAGTTCTCTCTTTTAGACCCATATTATAAATCGCCAGAGCAAGGAGAAGGGGCGCTGGTCTTGGGCTAATGCCACCTCGCAAGGGTGGTGATTACTGTGCAGGAGAGAACGGCCGTCGGAAAATCTTCCACAGCCTCAGCCCTGACCAGGGTTGTGATGGCCTCCTCAGCCTCTTCTGACCTTGTGAAGTGAGGGAGCTGTCAGGTGCTCCACTTTGTGTCTTACTTGTGTCTGTGCTGTTTGCTGCCGAGTCACCATAAATTCACAAGCCTTCATACATTTTCTCTTTCCTTTAATTATATAATGAAAAATGCCATCACCTCAGAGGCAGTGGAAGACCCAGCACAGAGAAATGGCAGTTACTTTAACAAGTTCCAGAAGGCTATGTGAGCTTTGACTTTTCTGTTCAGAGAGTACGTTTAATAATGTGACCCCTGATAAGATAATTTCTTACACTTGCTCAGAAAAGAGGCGAGGTTATGTACTTGCAGGAATTGGTTATTTGAAAATTCTTTACAGAAATAACTTTTACCTGAAAAATCTTCTTAAGTTTTTTTTGTTTGTTTGTTTTGAGAATCTGAAGCACTTTTGGCCAAGGGCCTGTAGTGACTCGTTGGCAAAGGCGTGAACTTTAAACGTCACGAAACGTTTAAACGTTCCTAGGCTTACTCCCTCTTCTCTCTGTCCTGACTTTTCCACTAACCGTCTTCAGGTCTCCGTGTGTATGTGACTCGGCAGTAGCAGACTGGCTACAGCGCAAGCACTCAGTGCAAAGGGAGGCTTGACATGTGCTGAGACGTTGGCTTACTTCGTATTGTTTAGCTCTTACGCTTCAGTAATCAGTGTCTAAAATATAGACTATATCTAGATATATCTTAACTCCTTGCATGATAAACTGCCTTGGAAGGGTATATCATAATCTTTACAGCAGAGATCCTGCCTTTAAGATGTGCTTGATATGAAATCACAAAGAAGAACCTTTGGCGCCATTGGGTGTTACAGAATATAAGCATATGTTCTAAATCTATAACCGTCTCCCTATGGTGTATGTGTTGATCTTTGGCCTGAATTGTAACAGGCTTTTTGTTGTTGCTGTTCTTTCCTCTATAACGTTGTTAGAAGACATTGAGCCTATGGGTATTGGGCCTTAAATTGAATTTTCTTAAGTAGAGAAAAGGAAAAAAAAAAAACCTGCTTTGGGGTTTAGGTCATAACAAAAACTAGGTCCTTCCTCAGGAAGATTGAATTCGCGCCCGTCTTGCGTTAGTGATGTGGCCGTACTTCATCTACGTGACCACACAGGTACTTGCTGTGGTTGCACATCTATGTCTGCTGCTGCCTCTCGGGCTCCTGTTGGAAGCTCCTGAGGAGAGGCTGTGGCAGTAGGAATGAGGACAACACACGAGACCCTTTCAGTCATTCTCTTGATCGTGGCTCTGCCCTGAGCCCAAAGGCTTTGGAGTCTGTGGGAAGAGGCCCTGTGTGTTGCCGTGATAATGATCTGGTCTTGGTTGCTCGCTCCTTGGCTAAAACCTTCCAGCTCTGTAGTCAGCACTATTCAGCGGTGAGGAAGTATGGGGCTGGGTAGTACATTGTCAGGTGTCCTTGAAGAGAATAATGATGTTGTGATTTGAAGAAGTATCATCTTCTGAGGTAATTTCAGTCCTCACTTGTCATCGTCATTCCATGCATTTATTGTGGAAGACATGCCAAGGCTGACTGCCGTGAGATATAGGAAAATGTTTTGGTGGAGCCACATTGGAGGCGCACCTCTTTGAGGGGTGACAGCTGCTGCAGAGAGGACTGTGGCTTTGAAGTGGGACTGATGCAGGTTTGCCTCCACGGCTTACCACACCAGGTTGTGCGTCCATGGGTGTGTCACGCAAGCTTGTAGAGTGTCGTGGGCATGTCAGTCCTCTAGCATAGACCCTGGCATGAAGAGGTGCTTCATCGATAATGTTCCACTTCTCCTCTCTGTCAAAGTTGTGCATGTCGTGGGAAGACAGTTCCGGTCCCACGGTCCCCATGGATCTGCTTCAGTGCCATGGAGTATGCAGTGGAGTGTTTGGGGAGAGCATAGCGTTGGTTCCTTGTGTATTCGTGTGTGTGTGTGTGTGTGTGTGTGTGTGTACACGTGTGCACACACCACCGTGGGAATACCACCTACTCCATGTTCCAAGTGACACTGTTCCTTTCCTGGCAGGTGCCTGAGATCATCAGCTCCATCCGACAGGCGGGGAAGATTGCCCGCCAGGAGGAGCTCCAGTGCCCGTCCGAGTTCGATGACACGTTTGCCAAGAAGTTTGAGGTGCTCTTCTGTGGCCGGGTGACAGTGGCTCACAAGAAGGCCCCCCCGGCCCTGATCGACGAGTGCATTGAGAAGTTCAATCACATCAGCTGCAGCCGGAAAGCCGAATCTGACCTGGTCTCCCAGGATTCTGAACCCCCAAATCCTGTGGGAGGGCTGTCCTTCACGGACAAGTTCCGATCCGTGCTCCAGCCGGTGGGGAACGGGGAGCAGGGCGGGAGGCCCATGCGCAAATCCTTCTCCCAGCCTGGCTTGCGCTCTTTGGCCTTTAAGAAGGAATTTCAAGATGGAAGCCTTCGAAGTAGTAGTTTTTTCAGGTCCTTTGAGGAAAACGACATCGAGAACCACCTAATTAGCGGACACAATGTTGTGCAGCCGACAGATATTGAGGAAAATCGAACGATGCTCTTCACGGTAAAATGCCATCAAGCCCCAGGCTCATCCCCGGTGTGAGAGACAGGTTCAATAGAAATCTGCTTTATTGCGCACAGATTCTTAGTAAATTGCTTTTGGATTTCTGTGTGAATCTAATTTTAAAGCAAATCCTTTTCTCAGGATAAAATCCTTTAGTTTTAGATGTTTAAAGTCATTGTTGGAGGGGTGCCTGGGTGGCTCAGTTGGTTGAGCATCTGACTTTGGCTTAGGTCATGATCTTACATTTCATGAGTTCAAGCCCCATGTCCAGCAGTGGCCGGACAGTTCAGAGCCTGCTTCGGATTCTATGTCTCCCTCTCTCTCTGTGCCTGCTCTGCTCAAGCCCTGGCCGCTTGCTCTTTCGCGCACTCTCTCTCTCTCTAAATATTTAAAAGATACGAATAAAATCATCATTGGAAACCTCAAGAGAATCCATCCTTTTTTTTTTTTTTTAAAGTTTATTTGAGAAAGAGAGAGAGCACACACAAGTGGAGAAGGAGGAGAGAGAGAGAGTGGGAGAGAGAGAGAATCCCAAGCAGGCTGTGCACCACCAGCATGGAGCTCAGTGCAGGGCTTGAACTCATGAACCATGAGATCATGACCTGAGCCAAAGTCGAATGCTTAACCAGGCACACCCTAAAGAGAATCCATCTTATATCCTTGTATGTTTTTATCTCTACTCGCTCCCCAATTTGGTTGAAAGGTACCTTTTAAAGAAGGAACAAGTAACACATGTAAGAGACCCCAAAAGGTTTTTTTTAAATGTATATTAATTTCAAGAAAAATATTTCAACAAAATCTTTTAATTGGAAAATACTCCCTCTTTACTGTTTCTATTAATTTATAAAAAATATTTATCCTTTGTTAATCAGAATAATTGGGTTTGGGGAGAACATGATATTTAAAATTTATCTCCAAACTGAAATAATAGTTTAGCTAATTGCTTACTCCCTTGTTTTCTAGAAAAGGTTTGGTAAACTAGTAGCCAGGTGACAGAAAAGGAACGAATAGGGAAGCTGTCCTTGGCACTTGGGATTCCTGGGTTCTGTACTGCCCTGGGCTCTTCTGGATGGGCTTGCCCTCCTTGGGAGTCCCCTGGGTCTGAGCTGATGGGACTTGGGGCTGTCCCAGCAGGGGGCTGGCCTCTGACAGTACAGGGAACTTGTTCTTCCTTAGCCCCCTTCTAGAATGTTGTGACTGATACTCTAGTGAGAGCAAAATTACCATAAGTGTAATGTTTTTGTGCCTAACTCAGGGCAGTGAGATGGCCAACAGGTAAGGAAGCTGCTACTTAGGTTAATGGGATGTTGGATGTAGCAGTTTAAGATGAAGATGATATCAGTGGGTACATAGGGCTATTTCCTTCCTGTTTTCATCGTGGGCCTAGTGTACTGAAAAGAGTGCTATGTTGGCATCAGGCTTATGCATTTTAGTCTGTGATCTGTGTTTAAAAAGATAAAACTCGTGGTGTCATTGTGAAAGCTACTCAGCGCATGCATTTTCAAGTACTTAGTGTGTGACTGCTGTGTATGGGGTCCCTTTCAGAATGCTAGAAGCTGTAGCAGTGAATAGGACACGCATGGTCTGTGCCCACATGGAATTTAGATTCCAGTAAGGGGGACTGACAACCAGTCGTACAAGTAATGGTCTCATTACAGTTGTGATAAATGCCACAAAGGAGAAGTAGAGGATGCTGTGAGAACATCTGAGGATTCCAGGAAGGCTTCTTGGAGGAAGTGATTTTTCACTGAGCAGAGGTTCAGCATAGCCAACTAGATATTCTTCTAGTTGGAGTCTGCTGGGTTCAGAAGCAGCAAGTGAGAAGGCCCTTGAGGCAGGGATGGGCTGCGGCAACACAGTCCTCTGCTATAATGGAGTATATTGTGCTGATTCAAGGCTGTAATGCAGTATTAATATATGCTAATACTGGAATTTATTTATTAAAAAATTTTTTAACTTTTTAATTTATTTCTGAGAGAAAGAGAGAGAGAGACAGTGTGAGCAGGGGAGGGTCAGAGAGAGAGGGAGACACAAAATCAGAAGCAGGCTCCAGGCTCTGAGCTGGCTGTCAGCACAGAGCCTGACACGGGGCTCGAACTCACAAACCATGAGATCATGACCTGAGCCTAAGTTGGACGCTTAACCAACTGAGCCACCCTGGCGCCCCAAACTTTATTTTTTTAAATTTAAGTTTATTTATTTATTTTGAGAGAGAGAGAGAGCGAGCACGTGAGTGAGCCAGGGAGGAGCAGTGGGAGGGAGGGAGAGAGAGAGAGAATCCTAAGCAGGCTCCATGCTGTCAGCCCAGAGCCCAATGTGGGGACTTGAACTCACAAACCATGAGATAATGCATGACCTGAGCCGAAACCAAGAGTCAAATGCTTAACTAGCTGAGCCACCCAGGTGCCCCTAATGCTCTAACTTTGAACACATAGTATGTACTCAACGATGGTAGGTTATTTTAACAAGAATTTTAAAAGACTCTTCAGTAAAAAAAAAAAAAACCCTAAAAAACCCACTTGTCATTAGAAAGTCTTTTGGAAGTTTCAAAAGAGAACCCTTTCTGGAAGATTCACTTTTATGGACACCTCACTTCTTATAAAGGGGAGATGTAGCATCTGAGGTTTTATTGCTAACTTTTGGATATTCACTTCTTTCATCTCAAAAAAGACTGCTTTAGGGGCACCTGGGTGGCTTTCAGTTAAGTGTCCGACTTTAGCTCAGATCATGATCTCCTGGTTCGTGAGTTCGAGCCCCGCTTTAGGCTCTGTGCTGACAACTCAGAGCCTGGAGCCTGTTTCTGATTCTGTGTGTGTGTGTCTCTCTCTCTGCCTCTTCTCTGCTTGCCCTCTCTCTATCTCTCAAAAATAAATAAACATTAAAAAAGAAGAAGACCGCTGTCCTATCCAGGTGAATATACTAATAGCTGTGTGGGGCTGCCTGAAATCCCCAGGGTGAACCAAAGCCCCCAGAGGTCTTCCTTTGCCGCGAACTCACCAGGACTTTAGAGGAACTTGCCCCTCTTCTTCTGTATTTTCATAGGCCACAAAATGAGAAAGTTTGTGTAATAAATTTGAGTTCAGTTTTCATGAAAAACTAGTTTCTTTTTTTTGTCTTTTAAGATTGGCCAGTCTGAAGTTTACCTCATCAGTCCTGACACCAAAAAAATAGCATTGGAGAAAAATTTTAAGGAAATATCCTTTTGCTCTCAGGTAAATGGAGATGGGTTAAAGGTTCATTTGCATTTGCATTTTTAATAAATTCTTTTATTATCTGTCATTCGACAGAAGTGCTAAAAGGTCAAAAGATGTATGCTTTCTGGGTGTACTTGACTTGTGATCTTGCATTTCTTCTCTGGTTTGGTATATTAAGGCAAAATACACAAATAATTTTGAAATTAAGTTTGCTATTAGCAACAATAACCTACTGGAAAAAAATACATGTACTTTTCTTTTTTTAATTATTGGTGGTAATGTTCTGTAGTCACAATTCCAGATGTGTGTGTGTGTGTGCATGCATGTTTTACATATATATTCATATATACGTGTAAATGTTTTTAAATAGATTCTCAATTTCTACTTTATAAAAATTCTTAACTTCTTTTAGGTGCCAGTCATTATTTCTTTAAAATAGTGATTAAGGATATTTTCCTCAGAATACAGTGCCTGCTTGATTCTTTCTTTTAAAAAAATTTGTTTTGATATTTATTTTGGGGGGAGAGAGAGAGAGAGAGAGAGAGTATGAGCAGGGGAGAGGCAGAGAGAGAGACACACGCACAGAATGTGAAGCAAGCTCCAGGCTCCGAGCTGTCAACACAGAGCCTGATGCGGTGCTCGAAATCGGGAACTGCTAGATTATGACCCAAGCACAAGTTGGACACAACCGACTGAGCCTCCCAGGCGCCCCTGATTCTTTCTTAATAGTTTCCTGAGCCGTGTTTCATAGGGAGATTTTGGAGAATCAGTTGTAATAGGCTATGTCAATTGAACTCAGTGTCTTCCTAACAAATATGAAATCATTTAAAGTTATTGTTTAGCTATTTTTTTTAAAACTCTTGCTTCTCATTTCCTCACTTCCATTTTCTCATAATTAGATGTAATGAAAATCTCATTGCTGGTTTATACCATGACTCACGTAAAAAAATTTCTCTCTTGAACCCTTTTCCCAAAATGTGAATATAATCAATGTTCCTTCTATAGTTGGATAGGGAACCATTTGCAAAATAAATTTTTCCAAATCCTCTTCCCCAGAACCAATACCTGGCATGTGCTTGCCTTGCTGTTGGAGAACATTGAGATATGTCAGTGATTGCCCATTTATTGGAAAATGTTCAACCTGAGATTATCCACAGAATTTAATCTCAATTTGCTATTTCTATTGAAATACTAATGTTTAAGGTTTGCTTTTTCGTACTGCAGTTTTATTATTTCCTAAAGGCTGCAGCTCACAAGTTTACACGATGACCCAAATTTCAAGTTATTATTCTTAGCACTTGTATCTTGGCATCCTGGTCCTTTCTGGAGATACTCATGTATTAATATTTATGTTCTAGGTCTTCTCTGTATCAAGGTGCCTCTTAGGTGATACTTTCAAACCAAGTTTACATATTTATTCACAAGAGCTTTTGGAAAATGATAGCGTACCAGTTTGGCCTTAATATTGTACATTTAAAAGTCTCTGCTTTCTGTGTATACGCTTTGTGACTCATTCTGTATACCAGTGAAGTTCTTACCTGTTCTTTTAGGAGTACAGATGTGTTTAATATATATATTTTTTAACCTTTGTAACTGTGTGTGCATGTGAGTGTGTGCATGTGTGTGGGTAGTTGTGTTTCTTCATTAATCTCTTACCTACTTTGGATTTTTGAAGTCGATTTTTATTCTTTGATACCTAAAAAAGTTCTCATCTTTCTGAGTCTACTTTTCTCCACTTCTTTTAGTACTAAAATGAACATTAAAAACTCTGGCTTTCAGTTCTTCTTGTTTTATGTGGGTAATCAGAATAACATTATAGTAGAATGATGTTAATCTTCATATTTAAGACATGTTTTTAGATATTTAAATTCTCTCTAAAATATCTCAGAAGATTGTCTGGAACCACAAAAGACCCCAAATAGCCAAGGCCATCTTGAGAACAGCAAAGCTGGACATCTCACAATTCCAGATTTTAAGACAGACTACAGAGTTGTAGTATTCAAAATAGTACAGTCCTGGCACAAAAATGGACCCATAGATCAGCGGAACAGAATAGAAAACCGAGAAAGAAACACATAATCATATGGTCAATTTGTGACAAAGGAGGCAAGAGTTTACAGTGGGGAAAAGACTGTCACTTCTGCAGTGGCCCAGGGAGAACTGGACAGCTACATGTAAGAGAAGGACATTGGACCACTCGCTCATACCAGACACAAAAATAAACTCAAAATGGATTAAAGGCCTAAACGTGAGGCATGAAACCATGAAACTCCTAGAAGAAAACATAAGCAGGAATTTCTTTGACATTGGCTATTGCAGAATTTTCTAAATATCTCCTCAGGCAAGAGAAACAAAAGCAAAAATAAATTATTGGGATTAAGCCAAAATAAAAAGCTTTTGCATAGAGAAGGAAGCCAACGACAAAATGAAAAAAGCAGCTTACTGAATGGGAGAAGATATTTGCAATTGATAATATCCCATGAGGGGTTAATCTCCAAAGTAGATAAAGTACTTACATGACTCAACATCAGAAAAACAAATAATCTAATTGAAAAATGGGCAGAGAAGCTGAATAGACATTTTTTCCAAAGATACACAGATAGCCAACAGGCACATGAAAACATGCACAATCATTAGGAAAATGCAAATGAAAACCACAATGAGCTATCCCCTTATACTTGTTAGAATGGCTAAAATAAAGACAAGAAACAAGTATTGACAAGGATGTGGAGAAAAAGGAACCCTCATGCACTGCTAGTGGGAATGTAAACTGGTGCAGCTGCTGTGGAAAACAGTATGGAGTTCCTCAAAACATTAAAAATAGACCTGCCATAGGATCCAGTAATGTCACTACTGGGTATTTATCCAAAGAAACAAAAACACTAATTCAAAAAGATCGGCGTATTCCTATTTTTATTACAGCCTTATTTATATTGTAGTTAAGACATGGAAGCAACCCAAGTGTCCATAAATAAGTGGACAAAGAAGGTGTGGTATACACACACACACACACACACAAACACACGAACATTACTCGACAAATAAAAAAAGATGGAGATCTTGCCATTTGTGACAATATGGATGGACCTAGATGGTATTATGCTAAGGGAAATCAGTCCAGGAAAAACAAATATCACATGACTTGGCTTATTATGTGGAATCTAAAAAACAAATGAGTAAACAAAAAGACCTATACCTAAATATGCAGAGAACAAACTGATGATTGCCAGAGGGGAGAGGAGTTGGGGATCCAGGCTTTCCGTTACGGGATGCATAAGTCACAGGGATGAAAGGTACAGCCTGGGGAGTATAGGCAGGGGTATCCTAACCGAACTGGATGGGGACAGATGGTGGCCACACTGGTGGTGAGCACAGCATAACATACAGACTTGTCCAGTCGCTACATCGCACACCTGATAGTAGTGTAACATTTGGTATCAACTGTGCTTCAGGAAACCTGAGAAACTAACTTCGTAGAGCTCTAGAAGACTGTGCTCTGTCAGCCTTAAGTCACCCTCTGACAGTTGTGCCCTCGTGTGGATGTGGCTCAATGTTCCTTCCTCTCTCCCCTGCCTTCACCAGGGTATCAGACATGTGGACCACTTTGGGTTTATCTGCCGAGAGGCTTCCGGGGGCGGAGGCTTTCATTTCGTCTGTTACGTGTTTCAGTGCACAAATGAGGCTCTGGTAAGTGAGACTGTGAGCTCGCTCCTGGAAACCTTATTCATGTGGAATTTCAACCTCTCCAAGTTTTTCTTCCCTTAGCAAACCATACAGCTTCATCAGGGTGTCAGTATTTAATTGTTCATCATGACTATTCAATAACCAGCTGGTGTACATGCAAGATGTATTTGGGTATGTGTCTGCAGCTTGCATTGTTCTTGGGGAACCTGCTCACTTAGCCCTCGGGCCAGTGTTAATGTCATTTTGGATTTTTGGTCCAGAGGTGTTGGCTTTTTTGTCAGTATTGAATTTATGGTTTTAGTTTTTACCTTATCTCTTTTAAGAGTTTTGAACATCTAGGTAGTGCTTTTAAGGCTATAATCCTAGCTGATACTACAATAATGATTATTGTTTGTCACTGATTCATGGTCCCCCCCAAATCTTCAAATACTAAGTCTTTGCTCAGAGTCCTAAAATCTCAGCCCCACTCATTTTTTTTTTTAAGTGTATTTACTTATTTTGAGAATGGGTACACACAAGCGGGGGAGGAGCAAAGAAAGCGAGAATCCCAAGCAGTCTCTGTGCTCTCAGCACAGAGCCTGATGTGGGGCTTCAAATCCCAAACCGTGAGATCATGCCCTGAGCCAAGTCAGAGGCTTGACCAGCTGAGCCACCCAGGCACCCCTCAGCCCCACTCATCTCTTTGTTGTTTGTTTACTTTTGAGAGACAGTGGGGGCGAGGGAGGGAAGAGGGAGAGGGAGACAGAATCCAAAGCAGACTTTAGGCTCTGAGCTGTCAGCACAGAGCCTGATGCGGGGCTTGAACCCACAAACCATGAGATCATGATCTGAGCCGAAGTGGGACGCTTAACCGACTGAGCCACCCAGGCGCCCCTTCTCCACTCCTCTTAAACGGGCTTTTTGCTGGTTACCATCTATCTGTTTTCTCTCTGATCAGGTTGATGAGATTATGATGACCCTGAAGCAGGCTTTCACCGTGGCTGCCGTGCAGCAGACGGCGAAAACCGCGGCCCAGCTGTGTGAGGGCTGCCCCCTTCAGGGCCTGCACAAGCTGTGTGAGCGGATTGAGGGTGAGTAGGGGCCCAGTCAGGGCTTAACATTGCAGGGGTTGGGGGACAGTGTAAAGGTCCCAGGAGAATCCTAGGTGATCTGCCTTCCTTGAAAGGTTTTGCCTGACAGAGGCACATGTTAGTTCTAGGGATTCCAGGTGACCTGTCAGGATGCCAAGGGTGTCTTCCATATTGAGCTAGGTGCTCAGGATTTGAAGAGAAACATCCAGGCCCCCCACCCCCGTCTATGTCGCCCCTCTAAGGGGCGCTGAGTAGAGGGACGGAAGCTGCAGTCTGGCTGCTGGCATTTATCAGCGTCGTGCGTGGCCAGCCCTGTTGGCTGCTGTGAAGAGATCTAGTTAAGATCCGAGCTGAAGAATCTCCACTAAGTGTTTCAGTTACGAGGTCACCGGTAACCTCCACCAGAACAGTGTTCATGGAGTGAAGGGGGCAGAAGGGTTGCAGTGAGCCAGTGGGAAAGAGTAAAAGGGACTGAGGATGGACTGTAGTTTCTAGAAGTTTGGTGTAGGGGGAAACTGTGGTAAACGTGACCATTTGCAGCTGATATGTATCGAGCGTTTAAGGTGAGCCGGGCCCTGTGCTAGGTGCTCTAACAGGTACTGTTACCAATTTGATCTTCACCACGTTGTGGGAGGAAAGGGGATTGGTCATGTGCACACTGTAGAGACAAGTAAATCAAGAATTAGTGAATTGCGGGGTACACTAGTGTGTGAGTCCAGGAGTCCGTCTGCACGGGAAGCCCTCCCTGTTATCTGGCCCCACAGCAGCCCCTCAGGAGAAGGCCGTGCTGTGGGGAGAGCCAGCTCACCTAGCTTTGTGCAGGTGGGGAGGTCTGAGCACATCCAGAGCCACAGGGGCCGGGTGGGTCAGAATGAAACGGATGAGACTTCTCCTGAATGAGAGTGAGAACCTTCCTCAGGTGGGAAGAGAGATGCTCCATTTCTGGGCCTGTGGTGGTGGTGGTGGGGGTGGGGGGGCGGTGAGGGGAGGCGGTAAGGGGGAGGTGGCGAGAGGCAGAGAACCAAAGTAAACCAGTGATGACGATCCTCTGAGAGAACCTGCCATTGAAGCGGTTCATTTCCTCTCTTTCCTTGGTTTTGCATATTTTTCCCATTTATAGGAGGATATCTAAAACTGTGTGTTTTTCTGAGGGAAGTCACAGGATTTAAACGGTCCATGTTGTTGTAAGCATCAAAACAGATTTGATAATTTCCTGTGTCTCTAGAATACTTTTTTTTTTAATTTTTATTTTTAGAGAGAGAGCATGAGCAAGGGAAGAGGGGCAGAGAGAGAGAGAGACAGAGAGAAAGAATCCCAAGCAGACTCCACACTCAGCATGGAGCCTGGTGTGAGACTTGATCCCACAACACTGGGATTGTGACCTGAGCCGAAATCAAGCATCTGATGCTCAACTGACTGCACTATCCCGCCCCCCCAGAATACTCCTAATAAGCTCTATGTGTGTAGAGAAGAACACAATTGCTATTTAGATTTCATCTTCCTCTTTGCATAATTGTGGTAAAAGTACACATAATAAAAAATCGACCATTTTAACCTTTCTAAAGTGTACAGTTCAGTAGCATTGAGTAATTAACGTCGTTGTGGTCATTGTCGCCTTCTCTTTCTGGAGCTTTTTAATCTTTCCAAATGGAGACCTAACTAAACTGTAATCTCCCCACCCCTTGACCCAGTCCCTGCCACCCACACTCTACTTCTGTCCCTGTGAATGTGATGGCTCTAGATACGTCCTCTAAGCGAACTTATGTCTCCTAGGCTCATTCAAGTTGTCACATGGGTCAGAATTTCGTATCATTTTAAGACTGACTAGTATTCTGTTTTGTATTTATACCACATTTATTCATCCGTCCATAGACATTTGACTTGTTTTCACCTTTTGGCTGCTGTGAATGATGTTGCCATCGTGTTGGTGTTCAAATATCTGTTCGCGTTCCTGCTTTCAGTTCTTTTGGGAAAATACCCACAAATGGGATTGCTGGATCATACGGGAAATTATATATTTAGTTTTTTGAGGAGCCACCATCATATTTTGCACAGTGGCCACACCACTGTGCACCCCCGTTAGCGGTGTACACACCTTCCAGTTTCTGCACGTCCTTGCCCACGCGGGTTCCTTTCTCTCTTCTTTACGACAACCATCCTAAGGGGTGTGAAGTGGTATCTGATTTCCCTTTTTTTTTTTTTTTAAATATTTTTATTTATTTCTAGGGGAGAGAGAGAGAGACAGCATGAGCAGGAGAGGGTCAGAGAGAGAGGGAGACCCAGACTCCAAAACAGGCTCCCGGCTCTGAGCTGGCAGTCAGCACAGAGCCCGACGCGGGGCCCGAACCCACGAACCGCGAGATCATGACCCAAGCGAAAGTCGGACGCCCAACCGACTAAGCCACCCAGGCGCCCCTCTGATTTCCCTTTTTAAATGAGATGAGTTGACAGTTATCATCTTAAGTTTCAAAGATTCGCTTGCGGGCATTATAGTGCTCTTTAACATGACTCAAAGTGATTCGTATTTTCAACTGTGCTTTCCTAGTTGCTACGATTCGCTGACATTATGCAAAATAGAGCTGGAAATGAGAAGAGTTGTGCTTCACCTAGAGAGCTCATCTGAAAGGGTCCCTAACCCTTCCCTTAGCGGTTGTCAAGATAAGGTAAACGCTGACAGAAATGTCCCTTTAGAGCGTAGTAAGAGGCCAGCAGTGACGTTGGCCCTGAAGATAACGCAGAGCAAGATCTGCAGGAGCTGGAAGGATTCCAGAGTTCCACTTGACGAATCTCTCTGTGGTCTGACCTAGCTTTCAGAAAGTGAGAGCTCAAAAGCCCCATCAGAGTAGGGATTTTGCTGCTGTGGTGTTGGAATTATTATTTAATTCATCTCTTTACCTGATGAAATCCAAGCACAGCAGAGAGCTCTGCTCATGGAAAACCTCCTCGACAGCACAGTTAGAAGGCTGGGAGGCTGTGCTGTGCCTACCCTGACGGGAAGCGTTTCTTCAGTATAGATGACACAGTGTTCCAGGCCCCCTCAGGCAGGGAGGTGCTAGTTTATGAACGATTGGAAGCCCGTGCTTTTTGCTCTATTGCATTCCTAATAAGTAGGATGAAGTGGTTTATTACAGCCCCTTGTAGGTTCCCGTAAGAGCCTGGCCGAGAACTCTGTACACGGGGGAGAGGAGCAATGACGTGGCCGCAGGAAGAAAGATTTACGGACTGTTTTCTTAAATCAGTTGAAACAGTCAGGCTGGGCCCCAGGATTTAGAAGAGAATACATACGCTAGGCACACAGTCACCTTGGACACACCGCTCACAACGTGTAAGAGGCGTGGCTGCGCTTGGGGTCTGGATTGGAACTCCGCACAAGTCCTAGTGGTGCAGCTCTAGCATTTTGTGTATTTTATTTTATTTTATTAAAATTTTTTTAACATTTATTTATTATTAAGGAATAGAGACAGAGGATGAGCAGGGAAGGGGCAGAGAGAGAGAGACACAGAATCTGAAGCAGGCTCCAGGCTCTGAGCTGTCAGCCAGCTCGAACCCACAAACCACGAGATCATGACCTAAGCTGAAGTCGAACACTTAACCCACCCCATCATTTTGTGTAGTTTAAAGTTGAGCAGAGCATTTTGGGAATTGCTAGACTGAACTATATGTCCATTGAAAAGGAAAAAAAAATTGAACTGAGGTTTCCTTTTGCCATCTAAGTTTGCATCTGGCAAAGCAATGTCATTCATCAGAGCTCGCTTAATATGAACCTTTTCTGCACAAGTGGTGTGAAGGGGGCCTCAATGACAACTAGCCCAGAGGGATTATAGCCTTCGAATGCCTTGGACTCCGCTTCCCTGTTTCTGTGTTGTGCCTTGCATCCCTTTCCCCTGGCAAAGCCTTAGGCATCGCGTCGAGGGTGCCACGTTCTTGCTGCAGGGACCACCCAGGGGTGGCCCAAGGTGTTTCGAAGCCCTGTGGAAGGTGCCCTGTGGACATGGAGTGGACAGCCAGGCCCCGGGGCCTGGGTGGGTCAGGAACCTCACCTTCGATTTGAGCTGGGCCAGGATGGACCTCAGGCCATTGAGGCATCCTGGAGGCAGGCATCAAACTTGTCAAGGAATCTCTTCATACCTGCCGAGTGCAAAGAATAGTCTCTGTTGCGGCCCGATTGTTAGAAGTGTGGACTTAGTCTCTTGCACAATGAGGTGAACTCTTCTTGGAGCTCAGGGGTTCTCTCTGTCTGTGTCTCCTCAAACAGTCCTCGTGTGTCCAAAATAGGATGCTTACATTGTGTCTGAGACCTGCAGGGAGGGCTTTTGGTTAGTGACGACTGCTTATTTTCTCCTAAGTTTAAACACTGTTTTAATTCAACATTTGAGGGGTTACTGTGCAGTAAAAGCATCTCTGTCTTTTCAGCTTGCTGAAGGAAGCACTCTGACAAAACCCATCTGTCTTTACTCCACTTTCACCCACCTCTGAATTCACTTTGGTATCGAAGCTACTTGTGTGTCAAGTGACTTGACTCTCTGGGCAAAGGAAGATAAGTGGACAGTTTGAAGAGTTGCTCGTGGAGGCAAACGAACATGGTTCAGAGTCTGACTCTGTCCCCTACCTAGCCGATGGCCTTGGACAAAATACTGGATTCTACCTTGCCTCAGTTTCTCCTTTATGCGTTGGGATTATGAAACATGGTGCCCACTTCAGGGGCTTTTTGAGGAAGGTGATGCACGTAGTGTGAGCACAGTGGCATAGCAATCCCTTAATAAATCTTGGTTTTTATTTTTAGAGGATTTTCTTGGCCAAAAAAAAAAAAAGGAGGGGGCCATTGCTGGGAGGAAAGACAGCCTGGAAGCTGAGAGAGCTGCAGTTTGAGGAACGGCTTCCACCAGAGCTGTTAGCAGGGTGGGGGCTCTGCGTCCAGCCCCTGTCAGGGTCGGGGGAAGGCAACAGCTCGGGGGGCCGTCCCGGCCGCTGATTGGCCTCCTGACTTTGACAAGTCTCCTGGTGCCTCCAACCCTCAGCAGACGCCTCCTAAAACAGAGGCTTGATTTCTGAGATCCTCTCCCGGCCATCCTTAGCCGTGTAGGCACATCACAGTGTTCTCCGGGGCGAGGAGCCCTGGCCAGGCACCTGCCGCGCAGCTCAGCCCCGCAGGAGGGGAAGGGAGGTGCGGCAGGCGGGCGAGGTGAGGGCTGCCTTCGGAACCGCGGCAGTTTTCCCACGGTGGTTAGGCCTGCCTTGCTTCCCAAATCTCAGTGTGTGTAACATTTATCTCTGGTGCAGAGAAAAGGCAAAACAGGACCTAAGGCATGTATGTGTGGAGAAAGAACTCTGCGAAGTATCCGATTCTCATTGGCACTAAAATTGTGTGACTTTCTGACTTTTTCTCTTAATCCTCTGTGATGGTCATTTGATGGCCTTAAGACTGTTAATAAGCCAGTGGTGATAAAATGGAAGTTGTTAGCCACGTGAATCCGTTTTATTGTGAAGGAGTCTACATGGAAGAGGCAGGTGTTTCAAACGGAGCCATAGTTGTTTTCCCTTGAGAAGAGTCATGAGGTTTAGGTGTAATTGCTCACAAGAATTTATTTTCTGAGGGCAAGGTTCTGATTGTGTGAGGTGTGTTAACATGGACTGGTGGAGAAAAACGTAATTTGGAACTGCACAGATGTGAGGTAGAGTCCAACATGATGGCCTTAGGAAATCACATAAGCCTCTGGGTCTCGGTTAAATGGGGATAACTAAAGCCTCTTCACTAATGCTCTGGGTGTTACATGCTGCGGGCTAATGTTTAAGACAGTGCCTGGCACGTGAAGGCTCAGCTGAAAAAACATCCGTTGTCCTCATTGCCGTCATTAACGTTTTTACTGAGTAGAATGTCCATAAAATATCAAAAGCATAAAGTAGGTGGGTCAGAACATAAAAAGCATGAGTGTGGAAGTTTTACTCTGCCTTATAAGTTGTACCTAGAGTGTTTTCATGTATCTCTTCTTAATAGGAATGAATTCTTCCAAAACCAAACTAGAACTCCAGAAGCACCTGACGACATTGACTAATCAGGAGCAAGCAACTATCTTTGAGGAGGTTCAGGTAAAGTACTAGCTTTTCATTTCTAGACTGAAGGAAAAGGTAAGCAGCTTGCCTGTGAGATGTTTTTGGTGAAAAATAGCAAACCAGAGCTGTCACAGCTCCAAGGAAGTAGCCCTGAGTTCCTCTTGGTTTAAGGTTAAGACCCACACAGAGCTGGGGGATGGGGGGAAGTAGGGGGGTTGTAGGGGGCAGGTCAGACAGCAGATCAACACCAGGTCTTGGTTTCCATGGTGAACGTAACTAACCCAGAAAAGTACTCCCTTAGAAAATATTTTAGAATAAAGAAAAGTAATTCTAGAGTGGAAAGAGCCTCAGTCCAGGTGACAGAGAACCTGGACTTTGGTCCCCGAGCCCTCCTCTGCTCTACAGGAGGCTTCTGCCAGCCCCTTCCTGCTCAGGGTTCAGCCCCATAGTGTGGCAGTCGGCAGAGACAGCATTTGGGACGTGAACCTGGTCACTTCCCGTTCCATCCCCTACTCAGTGTTGGACAGGAATTTAGATGGTGTGATCTGCATAGAGCTCTTTATCAGACCTGACTACAGAAGCAGAATACAAAAGGAGCCAGCTCACTGGTTTTCGGTGTTAAACTTGGAGAGTGGCTCCTGGGCTCGCACACGGATGCGGCGTCTCCCGGGGAAGCCGTGCCGTGCGTGCTGGCATGCCGTGGTGTGTTCGCGACCAGTCTTTAATGAGCTCGTCAAAAATGTCACGTCTGCTGTAGCGGAGGGCCATTTTCTATGGTTTCCTGGCATTTTTGTAGGGAGGGAAGCACATCAGGATGAGGAATAAATATTTGTGTGTGGGGAGCAGAGTGCCAGGACCCTGCAGTAAACCAGTCAAGAAGGCCGGCGGCCTGGGCTCTCGGTTCTGTCTGCCTTCACACCCCGTGCAGGGCGCTCCGCGCCAGGCCGCAATCTGTTTTCTGGTAACATGAAAAATTAGAAGACTGTCTTTTTCTCCTTAATCGCGTTAGAATTCTCTTCATCAACCTTGATCTTCTGTGGTAGGATTGGCACATGTTTGTAGAAGGAAGGCACAGGAAGGTTTTTTAATTTCACAAATAGCTTGGAATGTAATTTTCACAATTTCCATTGGCCTTTACATTTTCTTGTTTTCTTTTGAATCGACTTGTGACATGCCTTTTTTTTTAAATGTTTATTTTTGAGAGAGAGAAACTGAACAGAGGAGGGGCAGAAAGAGAGGGGGACAGAGGATCTGCTGTGTCAGTGCAGAGCCTGACGCAGGGCTTGAACTCCCGAACCGCGAGACCATGACCTGAGCTGACATTTGACACTTAACCGACTGAGCCACCCAGGCACTCCCTTGTTTTTACTTAAAGGATCTTTAGAGTTCTGAGTACACAATACTCAGAAGAACTTAGTGTGGTTTGTACTTGGAATTCATAAATGGATAGTTTGCTTCCGATTGCCAGTGCATTTATCGTGGAGGCTGGAGCCTTTTCATCTGATGTTGGTCCATCTGCTTGCTGGTCTAGTGCTGTCAAACGCACTTTAGGGAATGTCTTTGCAGCAAGCTTAGAAGATGCACATTCCTTCCCTAATGTGAGTTTTATTTTTTATTTAGACAGCACTTTGTAGCACTTTAACATCTATGCTGATTCATCCAACCAAAAACAGTGCGATGAACCAGCATAGGTAATAAAGTATTCTCCAGCAATGAGAAATTCCTAATGGATGTGATTCTGAGATTCTCTTTGACCCATGTCAGTTTTTAGACACCCAGTACTTACGGAAAAGAGATTTTAGAGGAAAGTAGGGATGCAGGTTTATTTCTCTTTAAAAATACATGTGGTTAATATCTCAGGGCCTCCATGTGTTGTTCTAGAAGGCTCTGTAAGTTGATTAGCTTAAAGACCAAAGGAAGGTCGCTGTGTGAAAAGCCAGCTCTTCCTTTGTCCTCCGTTGTTGTAAGTGTGGCTCTTCCTTGAATGGTACAAATTTGACACAGATCTCTTCTTCTAATGGCCTGAATTATTTTAATAATGCATTGAATTATTTTCAGTGGCCATCCTTGGTTCTTATAAGACATATTATAAACCAACTCATTGGTTTCTTTTTAGGTGGCAGTACCGGCTAATGTGTTTGAAAAATCATACATTTCAGAAAGATCATAACAAAAAAGGTGGCTTTTCAATGTCAGGATCCCTTTTGTAAACAGAATGGTTAATACATTCCTGTGTACCGTCTTTTCTGGAGGATAATTTGTTTTTAAAGAACTCCCCAAGGGCAAATTTTCATAAGACAAATGGAATTATGATAGAAATTAATGGCATGTGATTATGTAGTTGTTGATGCATACACAATCAGTGTTTTTATAAATAAACGCTTAATGCAAAGAAAAAATTGCAGAGCACACTGGCCATGACGGACACAGAGTCAGTAATGGCCGTGATGCAGGAGACTTGTCGCCGCCGCAGGGAGCTGACAGCGAGCGCGCTGAGAGCTTCGGGTCAGCCGAGCGCGCTGGCCCGGTCACCCTTCTGTAAGGACTCACGACCCTTGAGAGCCACTATTTATGACCTCGTGAAACGGGGCATATAATTTTCCCATGTATCTTACCCCACAGCTGAGCGGGGGGACCCCGGGGTCCTGCTGTCTTCCCGCCCTGCCCCGCTGCTGGCTGCCGGATCAGGTGGCCCCGACGGGCTCCCAGGCCAGAGAAGGGCGAGTAAGGGCCGTGTCTCAAAAGCCCAGCTCCTTCCATCTGAATGAGCGTATGTCAGGGAATGGCTGAATTAGGAAGTCAAGTAGGCTCCTGCTCAGAAGCTGTCAATAATGGATTAAAGAACATGACTTTTCACAAGTTTTAAAGATAATAGAAGGACGTTTTTTCTACTTTGTAAAGAGTATCAGCTTAGTTGGACTTTCCACAGCTCTAAAGTGATTTCGTGTAAGATTTGATTATAACTTTTGAAAAGCGGTCAGACCGCAGTGTCCCAGGTGAGCACCGCCCTTGTAAAGAGAACCCTCAGAAGACCACAGGCTTTCTCAGCATCGTGGTGCTCATAGTCCGTATTGGAAATGCAGTTTTCAATGCCTTTAACAACCAGTTCCTAGGCCCCCTCTAGAAATAAGGTCAAGAAGCAGGTAGCAGAATTGGCTTGATTATTTTTAACAGGCAATCAATTGTTTTGTATTTGTTTAAATGAAATATAACTGTAGGAAACCACAAATCAGTGGTGTGTGTACTTCAGTGAACGCTTATAAGATGGATGCGCTGTGCAGCCAGCACCAAGATGAGGAAATGGAGCATTTCCAGCCCCTCAGAAGCCCCCCCCCCATATTGTCCCCAGCTACCTACCGTCCTCACTTCTAACACTGCAGATTGATTTTTTCCTAAGTAGAGTTTTGACTACAAAGGGATGTCATCCAACGTAATTCCCCATCATTTTCCTCAGACGTGTCCCTGACTAATGAATTTTTGTAAAATTAAATCACCCGTGAAAGGTAATGCTTTGCCACCATCCAGAGTGGTGAAGTCACCTGAGAGGTGTTAAGGAGCAGACAGCTTGCTGATCATTTTTACTCGGTAGAGGAGTAGCCCACAATCATGTTTCAGTTATTTTAAGGAAGGATTTATTTCTTGACCTTGTAAGCCATCGTGAACGTGAGTGTCTGAGCTTTAGCGGCTTTCCTCTGCTGGTTAACAAGCTCTGTGACCCGGTCTCTGGTCCTTGGCTTAGGGTTTTAATGGGAAGTGACTTCGTTAGTGCATCGTGCTCAGCTGTCTCGTTTTCTGTCCATTTGAACAAGTTCTTGTGTATTTTGAGGGAAAAAAAGTTTCCATATTACTGCGTTTTAAAGCCATTTTTTGATACTTTTAATATAAGCTATCACACAGAATTTCTCCAAGAAAAATACACATTTTCTTGTTGAGAGCAGCTCCAAATATTTAAAGATATGGAAGGAATGGTTCCAACTCTTGGGTGTCTGTTCAGAGGCCTCCCATAATTCCTGTCTGCTACTCTTCTGTTGAGTTTTTCTTAAAAAATAGACTTTATTATTTTTACAACAGCTTTAGTTTTATAGAAGAAGTAGGTAGAAAATATCAAGTTCCCATATAACTCCTCACCCTCCACCCCTACCCCCAGGCCAGTTTTCTCTGTTGTTAACATCTTGTCTTAGTGTGTGGTACATTTGTTACTACTGATGAGCCCATATGGGTACATTGTTATTAACTGAAGTCCATAGTTGAAGTGAGGGTTAACTTTTAGGGTTGTTCCATTCTGTGTATTCTAACAAATGTATAATAGCATGTATCCACCAGTATAGGGTCATACAGAATAGTTTTTCGCTACCCTAAAAATCCTCTGTGCCCCATCAGTTCATTCCTCCCCTCCTCCGGTCCCCAGGCATCCACCAATCTTTGTCTCCATAGTTTGGCCTTACCCAGAACGTCATATGCTTGTAGTCATACAGTGTGCAGGAGATTGGCTTTCATGTTACAACATGCGTTTAAAGTTCCTCCGTGGTTTTTCATGGCTCTGTAGCTCTCTTTATTTTAGTGCTGAATAGTGTTCCATGTTATGGATGTATCACAATTTATTTATTCACCGTTGAAGGACATCTGGGTTGGTTGTAAGTTTCGGCAGTAATACAGAAAGCTGCTATAAACATTTGTGTGCAGGTTTTAGTGTGGGCATTAATTTTCATCTCATTTGGGCAAACAGTAAGCAGCGTGATTTGCTGGATTGCATGGTAAGGGCATGCCTAGTTTTTTATGAGAAGCTGCTGGACTGGCTCGCAAAGTGGCTGCATCACTGCATTCCCATCGGCAATGAGAGTTCCTCTTGTATCCTGGCCTTATAGACCCAGGTCGTGTCCGTGCGGTACTCAGTGTAAAGTTGGGATTGTGGTGCTTGACCAGGCCTTTCCTTTGGTGAAGATCTGATGGGAACTTTCTTTGGAAAAATCCACTTGTTGCATAAAACATGTATAACTTTATAACATCAAGGTTCGTGGCTTGGAATTGAGATTGAGAACATCTATTCTAGCCTCTATGATATTTAATCCTTAAATCTGAAATTTGAAAGAACAGGAAGTCCTCAATGAAAACAACCCCTTCTAATCATTTACTATCTTTTCCTTGAGTTACAGGAACAATTTATCATTTTAAATGATCTTTTTTTTAAGAGAGGGAATAACCAGAAGGTCTGGGTTAGTGTTACCTTTGCTTCTAAAACCTATGACACAAAGGGTAAAATCATTGTTTCTCAGTTAACTTAGGGAAGAGTTTGCCAGGATTGGAGTTGACCCAGACTAGATGCTTGTAGAGTTGATTCATGTATTCTACCCAAACTTTGTTTTGAAGGGCAGGCTAGAAGTTTGAGATAGGGGGAGAGAGAGGAGGAGCAGGAAAACAGATAATCATCATTATGAAAAATACATATTTTCAAGGCTTATAGACTAGAAGCTTTATGTGTCTTCAGAATAAGTCAGTTTTTTCTTTATATTCAGAGAAACGAATACATTAAGTTAGATGGTCTTCTAAAAACGAACAGGGATATTTCAGATCCAAAGAATTTGGGACCTTGGAGTTTATTTTGTACATAATCTTAATTTGAACAGACAAGGAAGCTAATGACTTGCCTTCGGCCACACTTCTGGGCAGCAGCTAGAACCTGCATATCCTGATTTCTAGTCCGCTGTGCTTTGCTACCACCTATATGAAGAATTACAGATGTAGGGAGAATGTTCTTCAAAAAGAAAGGGGAAAAAAAGGAGTCCCTGTCATGAAATACTGTGTGCAGTTCTTGCCTTGTTAGGCTTGCAGGAAGTGCTTCATGATAAACCTCACATCTGATGCATATGGAGCCGTGACCCTGGATCCAGTTACTATTTTCCTTTCCAGTTCCCTCACCATAAAAGTTTATAAACATGTAGCCCTTATGGCTCTTGACCTCTAGATGTTTACACAGATTTTATTCTTTTCTTGTTTTCAAGACTATTTATTTATTAAATATTTTGACTGTGCCCTATCTGATGTGAAATATTTATTTTAGGTATAAGGACATCAGAGGTCAAAAGCGAAATCGGGCTCACTGGCTGCATTGTTGCCTTTTTAAGTGTCTCCAAATCTAGCTAGGATCACCGGTGCCCCCTAGTGAGATGATTGGGTAAAAGCACCCATTAACGGATGGACGGAAGCTGTTTGCAGTTTTAAAGGCATGGTGTAGCAAGCAGTTTTGTTGACAATTAAAAATATATGTGACGTATTCTTTTTTTTTTTTTTTAAAGAAATTGCGACCAAGGAATGAGCAGCGAGAGAATGAATTGATTATTTCTTTCCTGAGATGTTTATACGAAGAAAAACAAAAAGTTCACATCCATGTTGGGGAGATGAAGCAGGTATGGCTTTTTTTTTTTTTTTTAAATCTTACCAGGATGCCATGTAAAAAAATCTTGAGGCTTTTCTCATGTTCTGAAACTCTTTCTTCTCCTTGTATCTTATTTTTATTTCTTGCACATATCAGGGAAGTTTGGAACTGTTAGGACAGTGCCTAGAGGAGGTGACAGAAGTAGTTGGGTGGTGCGGGCGCTTCCCCAGGAGGGGAGGCTGGTGGAGAGACTCAGGGCGCTGGTGAAGAGTAGGTACTGCCGACCCACGCTGCTTGACCTGCTGGGAGAGGGGGTGGGGGGTAGCCAGTCTCTATCGCCTCACCTTCCTCCCTGGTAAAATGGGAGTGTCATTGCCCGGTGGCCTTCGGAATTCTGTAAAGTGCTTGGAGGGTCTTTGTGACACAAATACTCCGCGAACACAGGAGAACCCTTCTGACCAGTCAGGTACGACGTCAGAGAGCCTGGCATATGTGCTCTTCAGCTCTAGAACTTGCCTTAATTCCGGTTCGCGTGAGGGAGGTCCAGAACCTGCCTGCCTTCCTCTCCTGGGCGCAAGCGTCGCTTAGCCTTCCCGTCCTGGGGTGCTCGGTCACAAGCTGGGGATACCCGCAGGTCTCTGTCTTTGAAGAACTCCAGTCTGGAATTCGTACGCCCGGTACCTTGGACCACTTTCCTGTGCCTTTCAGATTCTGTGTCAGTTCATTGGTGGTAGCCATTATAGCTTCAGATGTGCATTTTGTATTTACGTTACTTGTAAGCCAGAGAATCTAGAGAAAAATCACTGAAGGGTGTTCAGAAACATCCGTAGTTTTCCAAAAGTACGTTGCCTTTTAAAAAAATAAAAATAAAACACTTTACTGTTGCGTTCTAAAGGTGCTTTAACGCTCAGCGGTGTGCCGCCTCCCTCACTCTCTTCCCTGTGAACAGCCCTGCCTTTCTGGTAACCTAACTGTGGTGCGCTCTCACGTGGCAGCTCTGCCCACATTTCTACCTTCCAGCTGGCTCTGGCAGTCCCTGGCCAACTGTAGCATCTCCTGGCAGGGCCCCCGGCACTCGTGCCCTGTGTGTGTGTCTGGCCTTCGTGTGTCGACACTGCTCCCTTCCCAAGATAGCGTGGGAGCTTTGTGCCCCTCGGGTTCACTCAGGTAGGCCACTTAGCCCGAGCTGACAGTTAATTCTCTACTTCTTTTCAACCTGTTTCTCTTTCTCATTTTCATTCCTTTTTTTTTTTTTTCTTTTGTGCCATTAATAGTTTTTCCCTAACTTGTTCCAACAGGAAATTGATAATTTTGAAATAATTTATAAAGCTAGAGGGGAATGAAGCATTTATGGTGGATGGAAAGTTTTGACCTAAGTACAGACTCATATTTAGGGAACAGAGTCGTATCTTTATGATTTGGACACCGTTGAGTGCAGAGGAGAAATCTATTTAATTTTTTTTTCCATTTGGAAACATCAGGGAATTTAATATAAGAAGCAGAACTGTCAGCGCTTTCTCCAGAGGATCCTGAACATTCTGTCATCCCGCGCCCTCACGTCTGTGCCTGTGAAGATGTTGCCCCAACCCCAGTTGTGGTTGGGTCTCCCCCAGGCTGGACACCCTTTCGGGCTCTGAGGATCAGGCTTTTCAGAACAGCAGCTGCTTCTAGATGAATCATATGAGGCTTTGAGATTTTCTGGTACATTCCTGCTCTCTTTATGCTTCCGAGTACTTTAACTACATGGATTTCATTACATTCTTGTTGCACCGAAAAATCCCCATACTCTTTGAAAACGTGTTATGACTTGACCTAGAGAGGAGTGGAACCATGGCTTTGACAGTGAACTGCTCTGGCCACCAGTTTTCAAAAGGGGACAGAAGACATTGAGCACAGGTTCAAGGCTGCACTTCTCAGAGCCAGTGATCTGTATGTGCTTTGCAGTGACTAAAATGATAGTGTTGGATAGCTGTCAGAGGAATCGGTTCCATAAAATAGAAAACAAACTGAATGAAATTTTGTTCTTATGGAAAGGGTAGAATCAGTTTGGGCAAAGACCTGTAAAGTAATAAAGTTAGGAGGTGTCGCATTTTAGTCGACGAACATATTATTTCCACTTGTATATACAGAGCTGGTGTAAAAAATTTATAATATTCGCTCACCTGACACTTAGGGAATGTTTGCCATGTACGAGACAAGGTTCTAATTTTTTGCATGAATGATTCCATTTCTTCTTTGACTTTTTTGAGGCAGGTGGTGTAATACTCTTTTTAGGGATGGGAACACAGCGGGGAACAGGACTCAAGCAGCGCCTTAGGGACCTGCAGAGTCATTGTGTCTGAGGTCCAAGGACATTATCATTATCGTTATGCTTTTTAGAAGCTTACCTAACAAAGTTAAACCTTCTAGAACTACTCACTGATTTGCCCGGGGCCATTTTCCAGTAGTTTTTTTTTCTGACATTTCATTTTGAAAGATTTCAAACAGGCAGGAAAATTGAAAGAAACCATGAGCATTCACATACCCACCATCCAGATCCTACCGTTTGTAGCATTTTGTAATATTTACTTTCCCATGTATCTTTCCATCTATCATATCACCTTGTTTTTGATGACTTTTAAAGTAAGTTTTTGATACCAGTACTCTTTATTCCCAAACACTTTAGCCTGTAGCTCTTTTTAACTGTAGCTCAGTATTTGTTCGCAAGTATCGGGAGATTTATATCCTGCAAGTTGCACAGATCTTGAGTGTACCCTTTGTGAATTTGAGGTCTTCAGACATTCAGGTGGCCCAGACCCCATCAAGATGGAGAGCGTCCTCTTTCCCAGCAGAATGTACCCCCAGACGTCTTTTCTAGTACTACTGCTCCCTCAGGCAGCCTCGGTTTTGACTATTTTCTCCATGGATTAATTTTGCCTGCTCTAGAACTTTAATGGATGGAGTCATACAGTGTGTGCTCTGTCACTTCGGGCTTCTTCCACTTGGCCTGACGTCCCTGCTCTTCATCCACGTTGTTGCATGTATCAGCGGTTCCCTTTCCTTCCTTTGTGCCAACATGACAGCTTTTGTCCATCCTTCTTTTGGGGGGGCCCGCAAGCCGTTTGCGGGTGCTAAATGTGATAAGTAGGGCCGCCAGGAGGCACGTGTGGCACCATAGAGTGGTGGGTTCTGACCTGAGAACTTCAGTGTAGCGCAGGATTTAAAACGTGGCTCCAGACCCCCACGCACAGGACTCACCCCTCTGTCATATGGTGGACAGTGCGACATGGTCAGTCTGTGCTAGGGGCCGGGGGTATCCCAGGACCAGCATCCTCTTTGAGGGAGAAATGTCTAGATGCTTGTTTTATATTGTTTTATTTATTTTTTAATGTTTATTTATTATTGAGGGAGAGAGCAGGGGAGGGGCAGAGAGAGGAGGGGACAGAGGACCCAAAGCAGGCTCTGTGCTGACAGCAGTGAGCCCAACGCGGGGCTTGAAAAGTGACGAACTGCAAGATAGGACCTGAGCCAAAGTCAGATGCTCAACTGACTGAGCCGCCCAGGCACCCCTAGATTCTTATTTTAAAATAAACAAGGATTATATTATTTTCTAAATTGAAATTATGCTAGAATTACGGTAGACCTGGAGGAATGTCGTGTCAGATGGTGGAGGGGAGCAGAGGACGCGCTGAACCAAGCGCACAGGTGTTCATACGACCTGCTTTAAAATAAGAGAAACCCAAGTGCAGTTTTTCTTTCTGCTATGTGTCACTGGTCTCCTAGCCAGTGTTTTCTCTGTACAGTAGAACAATCCATTCAAAATGCCTTTACTTTATGGAAACCAGTGGAGTCTGAAAGCAAGCCCACAGCTTCCCACCTCTGTGGGAGGACCGGCAGCAAGTCCAGGGCAGGCCCGCGAGGGCCCTGTGTGGCTCTTTGCCCTGGAGGCTGCCTCAAGCCTGCACAGGCTCTCTTCTTGGAAAACGATTGCACAGGACCCGTTGCAGTGAGTCAGGCACCTGCCCACGGTGCGTAATGTTCGGCGGCCACTTAGTTAATATTGGTTCAGTGGGTCTGTAACCTCAGGTGCGTGTTTCCCACGGGCTTCCCGGTGGTCACTGCTCGTTCACTCCTTCGGCAGGCAAGCGTGCTCGGTATGCTCTGTGACAACACAAAGATAAGTGACGGTCTCCCCTGAGGGAAGGTCTAAGCTGGTAGTCATTCTTTTAATGTACATTCTGACTCTCACAGAAGTAAAATGCTGATGAGTGGACAAAGCCAAAAGGTAGCTCTTATCAGAACCTTTTCTTTCTCATATGCCTTGAAAAATATATGACCTTCATTGGTGAATTAGGATTTCATTGTTTGAAAGAAGACATAAAGTCTTTGACCGGTAAGTAACTGAATAAAATTTAAAAAATGCAGGCATAGGGATTAGGCGAAGACCATCTCTACCCACCAAATAGGTAGAAATTTAAAAATCTGACAATACCATGTAAGAGTGAACTCTCATGTGCTGGGACTATGAACTAGTACCATTTAGGGGAGAAAAACTTGACAGTATCTGTACGTGTGAAGACACACAGACCTAGAGACCCAGCAAGGACATTTCTAATACTTACCTCGCAAAACCTTCCACCTGTGTGGTAAGGAGCTCTGTTCAAGAGAGAGGAGTGCAGTCTTCTTTGTAAAAGCAGAAAGGAGTCTGTGTTTAACCACAGGAACGTGAACAAATTGTGTCATACAGTGAGCTGCTACCCTCTAACTAAAGTGAGTCAAAAAACATTTGTCAACATGGATAAATCTCAAAAACAGCACTGAAAGAGAAAGGTCATTATGGGAGGGTACGTACTGGATGATACATTCATCTAAAGCTTCAGCTATATGTAAACCATCATGTATGTTCTATGGATACATACATAGGTGTGTGTGTATTACGCACATTATATACAAATATAATATACACACAAAGGTACAGAAAATGAGTTGACCAGATTCAGGAGAGGGGTTATTTGTACAGATGGAAAACAGAGAGTGGCTTCAGAGATGTCTGTCATGTTTCTATTAAATGCAGAAAGCAGCAGCTAAAATTCACGATTGCTGACATTTACAGAGCGTCAGGCGTGTTCTGAGCGCTTCCGTGTGTCTTAATGCATCTAATCCCCACGAACACTCTGTGATGAAAGATCCGTGTGTGTCCTCGGTCTGCAGGCGGAGGACCCAAGGGTGCAGCGGGCAATTGCCTGTCTAGTGCCACAGAGCTAGGGACCATCTCACCCGGGCATGGGCTCCGGAGCCCGCGCCTCACTCTTCTCAACACCTGCATATTCATTTGGCCAAAGCTGGGGCTGGGGGTGGGGTGGGTGGTGGCATTTGTTGTATTTATCTGTATGCTTAGCAACAAAGAATGGTCAGAGTTTAGAGTATTGGAGGATAGGCTCGATCATGTGGTTTTCTTAAAAAAATAATCATTGTCTAGCAGGAAGCAAGACAATTCAGGCAAGAATCCATAGAGGTAAGAAGCAATTTAATCTAGGAGTTTTTTGTAGTTTTTTTTTTTAAACATACCTCTTTGTTAATGACTAGCATTAAACCTCATTTAGCTATTGGCATCCAGACGCCATTATGTTGTCAGCTTCATCTTCTGTGTGGTCAGGGGGACAAGGTTGGCGCAGAGGGAGAGAGGATGACGGACACAGTAGGCGGGAGAGAGGAAGTGGAGAAGACAGAACTCCACAGGAAGTGACGAAGGGACGAATTTAGGGTTATGGAGTGGATTCGTCAGTTGATAAAATTTATTTTATTTCAACCTCTGAGATGCCCCCAAAGGTAAAGTATTTTGGACTTTGAAGAGCTAATAATGGCCACCTTTATAACAGAAGCTCTACTCAGTGCGTTTTATGACTTGCCTGTTTTAATCTCACAGCACAGTGTTATGATTAGATCTTGAGGTGAGTCTGAGTTGACAGAGGAGTCTAGAAATGAAGCCTAGGAGAGAGGAAGTAACTTGTACAAGGCCAATTAGTGACCTGACTACAGAGCCTGAGCTCTCAAGCTTTGTTAGCTGAGTGGTTTCCAGGCATGTTATGTCCTTTCATTTGGAGTGGTCAGAGCAACTCTCGGAGGCAAACTATTTCCTGGACCCGCAGCCAGGCCATCGAGGAGCAGGTGAGGTCACAGGATCAGAATCATGGCCTGGGGTCAAAAAGACGCATCCTGGAGATGTATCATTCCTTACGAAAGGAAAAAAGGAAGCTGTCAGTGACTGACTTAATTGTCATTGCTTCTTTCTGTAGACATCACAGATTGCAGCGGAGACTATTGGAAGTGAGTTACCACCTAGTGCCACTCGACTGAGGCTGGATATGCTGAAAAACAAAGCAAAGAGATCTTTAACAGAGTCCTTAGAAAGTATTTTGTCCCGGGTAAGTAGCATAATCTCTCCTAATTTAAGTGAAAATCACTTTTTAAGAGAACATAAGATTCAATTCTTTGCCTTTTTAAAGAAAAATTTATTTATTTATATTGATTGGTTGATTGTTAAGCAATCTCTATACCCAACATGGGGCTCGAACTCAACCCCAAGATCAAGAGTCACATGTTCCACCCACTGAGCCAGATTGGCACCCCTCAAATCTTTGCTTTTGTGCCATGAGTGTTTGTTATAAAATGTAGAAGGGTCAAACCTTTTTAGTGTCTTCTCAGTCTTAGAGCAATGTTACCTACGCTTCAGTTTTTAACTTGGTTTAGGTTGAAAGCAATTCTCTTATACACCATGGTATTTTTTGTTTCCAAAAAGAATGTTCTTCCGTAGCCAGTCTCTGTGAAGAGCACAGAGTACAGTAAAAGTGTGGGTCCTGTCCTCCCCAGAGCCACCAGGCACAGCCTAAATCCCATTCCATCAGCTGCTGCTGGTTTGCGTCTGGAACTCTCTGTGGTGGGTCGATGAACTGTGGCTCTCAGGCCAAACACCGCCCACCTCCTGTTTTTGCAAATAAAGTTTCGAAACCCAGCCACATCCATTCATTTACCTGTTTTCTTAGTTTGCTTTTGTGCCTCATTGAGTAGTTGCCACAGAGCCTGAGAGAAGAGATTTATTACGTAGCCCTTTACAGAAGAGTTTGCGCACTGCAGCTCCAGGAAGAACGAGGTTTACGTACACACCAGTGTCGGGGTGCCTTAAGAAATCACCTGCTGTGTGGTCCCCACCCCAGCAGGTGCAGATCACCTTTGACAGCACTCCTGAGAAAGCAGAGTTGGGTTTTCGTTCAACATTTCACACTATCCTGGAGCTTGCAGTATCTTACAGGGTTTTTTTTTTTTTTTTTTAATTTCATGACATCCATTTTAATTTCATGACATGATCCATGTTTAATTATTTTTTAAGGAAAATTAAATTTTATTTTGTTTGAAGGTATTTCTGAGAATTTTGCAGTATCCTTAGAGATAATTCAGAACCATCCACTGACAAAACCGGGTGGCCACCTATGGGAGCCCCCAAATAGTGTGTTGTCTGAGTGTCATACAGCCGGCAGGTTGTGACAGCTCATGAGTCGGGAGAGAGGCATAGAGTGTGCTCGCTTTAGCACTTGCTTTCCCTCATAGAATGATTATCTCTTCTTCCTGCCCATCGTCCCTGCCAAATGACGAATCCACGAGGTGCTCAAGAACATTTAGGTTGATGTGTTGTTAAAAAAAAAAAAAAAAAAAAGACCGCAGTGTTGATTATCTTAAAGCACATATGTCCTCAGCAGCCTCTCTCGCTCGGTGCGTTTTTCCTGAGGTGCTGCACCCGAACAGGCTGCTTCTAGCTGATGTCTCTGCAAAAGCCCACGGGAGCGCACTTTGACTGCTTTTCTTTATGTAACTTGACTGCTTTTCTTTATGTAGGGTAATAAAGCCAGAGGCCTACAAGAACATTCTGCCAGTCTGGATCTGGACAGCTCCTTATCTAGCACATTAAGCAACACCAGCAAAGTAAGCACATTTCCCTTTATGCGACATGGTTCGTGCCCATCTGTCACCTGCAGAGCCTACAAAAGGAACAAAGGAAGCCTCCTGTCTTTAACCATGAAAAGTTTGGTGCCTGCAGACTTCCTGGTGCAGGGGGAGGCCTGGTCTTGCAATTCTGTAGCTTAGAAGTTTCACATAACCAAGCAGAAGGCTGTTGCATAAGCAAAGAAGCAAGATGACAATTTTATTTTAATTTAGTTTAGTTTAGTTTAGTTTTGAAAGAGAGAGACAGAGTGCAAGTGGGGGAGGGGCAGAGAGTGGGGGAGGGGCAGAGACAGAGGGAGACACAGAATCCGAAGCAGGCTCCAGGCTCTGAGCCGTCAGCACAGAGCCTGGACTTGGGTCTCAAACTCATAAACTGCAAGATCATGACCTGAGCCAATGTCAGACGCCTAACCGACTGAGCCACCCAGGTGCCCCAACGAGATGTCAATTTTAGACCATTAAGAGATAATGTATCACAAAGCATCCAATGGACTTCTTTCCCATTATTGAAAATAATTGAAATTGGGAAAACCTCAAGCGTGGGTTTGGGAATTCTGTGAAGTATGCAACATGAATTCCTGAACTTACTCCTACCCTTTGGCCGGCCCTGTGATTATAGTGAAACAGTACTGTTTTCACCAATAGTGGAGCTCCACCCCTTGCATCTGTCACTGGGCACAGCTTCGTGATAATGAGCAAGCCAGGGGCTCCCTTCAGTAACCTCTGTCTCTGTCCTTGTTTTAATTTCTTGCTTTCTAGACATTTAAGCATATTCAACTTTTTTAACCACCAAAAAGTGAATGCAGGGTTTGTGCTAGGGAGGCCAGCTTTCCTTCTGCTCCCAGAGCTCCGTCAGATGCAGATGAGAGGGAAGTTTTGTGGAGGCCAGCTCCTGACCTAAGTGCTTCTGAGTTCCCTGCTGGGCGAGTGGCTTGCAAAGTTAAGAAACTCACTTAACATAGCAAAATGATTCACAAACATATGCATACACACTTATACCCAAAACTAAAATTTCACAAAACAGTATTTGCTGTAAACAACCTGACACATAATGTCATTTTCAGTTCTTTTTTTACTTTAAAAATGTCCATGGCAGACTACTAAATTGATATCACCACCTGCAGTCTATTGCTTGAGAAACACTGTCTTGGAAAAGTGCTTCTCAAATTCTCAGGTGCACCTTTACTGGGGTTCTGGTGAAAATGCAGATTCTGATTAAGTAGGTCTAAGATGCTGCATTTCTGACAAGCTGTGAGGTCCGTGGATGCCCTCTCCCTCCTGGGGCACGAGGCCCTGGACACCAGTCTTCTGAATATGATTTTCTGAGTTAAAATCTAGTGGGACAACATCATCTCACCTCCATCCACCACATACTGGTTCTACCCCACAGTTTATTTCAAGTTGGGAAATGGTGTGGTTTATCCGCTGTCTACAGATGAATGGGACAAGGCCCCTGCCCTTAATAACTTATCTGAGAGATGACAGGTACTCAGCACCAGCATCGAGCAGAATACAGAAGGAGCCCTGAGAGGTTTGAATAAGAGAGGGTGGTTACTTAGCAGTCCCAGGTACAAGGAGAAGGGAAGTTGTTTTTGATCAACGGAAGCAGAGAAAGCATGGGAGCAGGAGCAGTGGTGGTTTTGAATTTACTTAAAAAAATTTTTTTTAATGTTTTTTATTTATTTCTGAGAGAGAGAGACAGCGTGAACAGGGGAGGGTCAGAGAGAGAGAGACACACACACACAGAATCCGAAACAGGCTCCAGGCTCTGAGCTAGCTGTCAGCACAGAGCCCGACGCGGGGCTCAAACCCACAAACCGTGAGATCATGACCTGAGCCCAAGTCAGATGCTTAACCGACTGAGCCACCCAGGCACCCCTTGAATTTACTTTTTTAAAGTGTAGGCATTCTGCCTGTGGTGGTGGACCGCAGAGGGGTGTTCCAGATGGGTGCAAATAAAGCCAACGGTGAATTCAGTTCATGTAACTCTAGTGACTTTCCTAGGAAGTCTTTTTGCCTGTTTGTATTCTTCTCTATAGCACAAGTCTAGGAACGTACACAGAGCTTGAATTTCTAAGGTTATCTTAAGAGAAACACAACTTTGAGAAGCTGCCTGTTTGTGTTGTGTGTGGGAGTATCTTTATATGTACTTCTTTACATCTCTTTTTATCCTGGGATTGAGAAACTGTTGTAAAGATACACTATTTTATACAATTGGATCTTAACCAAGAAATTGATCATCTAAGAGTTGAGGAACATTTGAGCGGCACTTTAAGGTGTAAGATTAAGTTAAGGATTAGCTCTTTCCTGTAATTTGGAGGGGGATGTTAATAAAAGTTGAGACAATCAGGCTTGCATAATGGAGATTGTTTGCTGTGATGTATTGTCTTAAACAAAATTTTAAATCCTTAAAAGGATCTTTGGGGTCTTGAAGAATGAAAAATCTCCACTATGTTTAAAAGTAATTAATATTTTGTAGTATGCTGGGAATTAGGTTTTTACTATCTAATCCATACAGAATTTAATATATGTATTATCTCTCCCTTCAATAAACATATATTTCTAAAAATGAAAATCGTCAATACCTACCATTTGAAAGGTACTCAACTATATGTCAAATGAACACATAGAGTTTAGATTCTCCAATCCGTCATTACATGCATTCATTTCATTTTACTCTTTTCAAAGTTGATTTATTTATCTCTTCTAGCAATTTCATCTGGGGCATACCTCCCCTTATTTTATATTTTTTGACTGGAAAAGAATATATTGGCCACCAACAATGGCTTGGGTGCTGAGCTAAGCATAGGATTGCCTGAATAGTAGTTCACCTCTTTGAAAAAGTATGCATCTTAAAAGACAATGGTATTAAAATATTGTCATGATTCTCAGTAGATGTTTGAGTTACCCACTCAGTAGATTTGTTGAATGCCTGGTACAGTAACTTATATTTGTATAACATTTTATAGCGAACTCTCACTTGTATTATCTTGCTTAACTCCTGAAACCCACTGAGATAAATCTTCATTCTACCCTTTAATGGAGGAGAAAAATTGAGCTACGGAAAGAAGTTAAATAATTTGCCCTGGATCGTGGCAATAAGTGCCTAAGGAGAGATTTTTCATATTGTGAGAATAATATAAGATGCAGTTTTTAACCTCAGGATTACCAAGTTGAATTTCAACATTAGATCAGAATCAGAGAGCCTTTAAATGTGGGTGTAACGTACACACTGAGCAGAGATAAAGAACTTGATTTGTTTAAACAGGGCAGACAAGTTCTACAAGACTCCACATGCTTCTCGAGAGCACAGTAGAGTCTTCTCCAGGGAGACGGGACTGTTTGTGGCTCTGCTTACAGCAGTGCCTCCATCAGCTTGCATTTGGGCCGTCTCCCCAGGGGTCCCGCAACCCAATACCGTTTTGTCCCCGATGAGCTGACACCTGATGGGCCTTCGTTTCCTTCTCTTCGTGGTGGCCTCTAGATGGCATCACAGTCAGATGTGCTCATGTATCACAATGTTTTCCTGCCACTGGGATGAGAGGGATGGAAGCCTCTCATTCTCCCTGTGAAATGTCTGACCTGCTGTCTCCCTGCCGCCAGGAGCCGCCTGGCTGTGACAGGGAGGCAGCGCCCGCCTCCGAGGGCTCCTTCAGGCTCCTCGGCTCCTCGGATGACCTGTCCGGCGACTTGGAAAGCCACCCCGCAGAAGAGCCCGCCCCACTGACGCCCCAGCAAGGCTTCCGGCGGCGTGCCAACACCCTGAGCCACTTCCCCGTGCGATGCCAGGAGCCTCCGGAACCGGCGCAAGGGTCTCAGGGGGCCTCCCAGAGGAAGCTCGTGAGGTACCACTCCGTGAGCACAGAGACGCCTCATGAACGCAAGTAAGATTTGCTGAAAAATGTAAACTTGTTTTTACCGAAACAGCTGGGGCATATCTGTCAGTAACCAGGTATGTGCAGCCCAGGTATGTTTGAGACTTGAGTCAGGTTCTGTTCGTGGCTTAAAAAGCTGAAGCTTGAAGGCATGTCCTGTTCCTCCACCACTGAAGTGTGTTCGAGACCCCTGTTACTCGTTCAAGTAGTGAGCGCAGGGATCGGGGGATGCAGGTAAAACGGAGCAGAAGCGGCCCTCAGAGTGCGGAGTAATCGCTGCTCCAGCACTGTGAGAGGCAGTAGTGCTGGGACTTAGCTGCTGACTCTGAGGAAAACCCGCAGAGGGGCGAGCAGGTGAGTCTGCTCCCCTGCAGAGCTGGAACGTGCCTGGTGGGGTGGGGAGGCCGACGGTTGCCCCTGGGGACGGTGGCTTTGGGTTCTGGTCCTCGCTCTGTCCTGATGCCTGTGACCTGGGCAGATTCACTTAGCTTCTCTGGGTGACACAGTTGGAATAGATTTTTTTAAAAAATCTCCTTCCATGGCAGAGTTCTAGATTTTGCTAACCAGATTTAATGATTTTAATCATTTGGCTCTAATGAGCGGTTGGAATTTCCTGGCTAAAGACATGGGTGAGCAATGTAGTAGCAGAGATTGTCTGGCTCCTTCTGGGGTCCCTTGGCAATTAATTTGACCCTGTCAAAGACCATAGACGGTCACAGAGTTATCCTTAAGGATAACTTTAAAAATCTTTTTAAAAAATCTTTTAAAATCCTTCACTTTACAATATGAATAAGGGCCACACCTACCCATAGTTGCTGCCTTCCTTGGACTGATGTGTGTCCGTGAGGGTTGTGCACAGGGAACACAGAGTCTGAACAGAGGTGTTTGATGTGTTCTGAGTACAGAAATGAAACAGCATTTGAAGGATGTAGCAGAGTCTCTCAACTCTTTCCAGTCGGCCGTTGAGAATAGTCACGATGGTTTTTAAGAACTCGGCTGCGTACGTGATCCCAAAGCAGGAGGCCCAACAGAAGGTAGTATTTAACTGAGGCCGTTTTAGAGCCTGAGCATAGTTAGAGGGTTTATGGGGTACTTGTCTTCTTCTTAAAACCCTCTGAACCCGTTACTTCTGCGCCTCCGCTGCCTTCCCAGCCCTGTGTTTCTGGCATTTTCAGTGATCATGGAAACATCCATGTCCAGAGATTCCTAGTTCTCTTGCTACGCCTGCAGTTTCACACAAGCCGACATGGCAGGAAATGTGTGTCCCTGACAGTACCTTTCGCTGCTCCCCCGGAATGCAGCTTCCTGATGGGTCTCGCTGGACTGAGGGGAGGGGGGGATGGAGAAGTGCCTGCCTCTCCCTCCTCCCACACCAGCAGGCCCGTTTTGCTTTCCACTCCCTTATGAACTCTTTCCTCATTTATGCACAAGCAATGAGACATTGAATTCAAGGCAAGTTATTGTTCATTTTAAAGAAAAACGTATTTTAAAAACTCGGAGTTTGTTTTGCTTTCCTTTGCCTTTGGTTTAAATAAAAAACAAAATTGCTGTCAGTTCCTAAAAAGGGAACAGAGGAAAAAGTACTGTTGGGTGTACATATTTGTGAGAAATGGTCAAGAATACTCCTTTTTTTTTTTTTTTTCCCCCTACTGAGAACTGACTTTGCCAATGAGACAGTGGACACAGAAGAGAAGAGCAGCCCTCGTGACAGCTGGCGTTTAGAATAATCGGGGGCACCGGCAGCCTCGCCCGTTCTTACCTGTTTCCTTCGTGTCCCCCCTGGTGTCCCCTCCTCTTCCCGCTAATCGCCCTGCTTTCTCTCTAATTGCTATTTAGTGTGAATCATCCACCCGTTGGCGAGTCTAAAAGTTGCTCAGGTCAGTCTTCAGCTCCTGCTCCTCCACCTCGCCTTAACCCCTCAGCCTCCTCGCCACATTTTTTTAAGTACCTAAAGCATAGCTCGAGTGGAGAACAAAGTGGGAATGCTGTGCCAAAGAGGTGAGCGAGCGCACGCACACGGCAAGTTCAGTGTGGTTTGTCTTCCCGGGCAGTTCACACAGAGAGGATGTGCTGCATGGCGGAGAGAAGCCGGGGCCACCGCGCACGTGTGTGTGTGTGTGTGTGTGTGTGTGTGAGAGCGCGCGCGCATTGCTCTGGCTTTGATTTTATTATTTTCAGTCTATCATCTGAACTGACTTAATTTACTATTGATTAATTACTATTGCCAGGTCTTAATGTCAGTCCATTTCTTATATACTTATTTTCACATACCCCTGCCCCACTGTATACACACACACGCGCGCGCGTGCGCGCGCACACACACACACACACACACAATGAGCAACTGCATTTGATCATATACTGTGGTTTGTGCCAAATCAGAAACTTCCTCATTAATTTTGGAGAATTATTTTTTTCCAGTTGGAAAGGAAAAATCACTTTGGAAGATGGACTGATTTTTTTATGTTTTATTGTATTCTGGTAAGAATGCTTAACATGAGATGCTCTTAGTGCACTTTTAGAGCACACAGCCCAGCATTGCTAACCACGGGCACCATGCTGTACAGCAGGTCTCTACAGCTTATCCACGCGCATGACTGACTGACTGATGTTCTTGATTCACTCGTAGATTCCACTCATTTAAATAGGATTTTATTAACTGCATACAGAAGTTAAATCTCACTTGTAAACTTTTAAATTTCTTACCTGATGTAATTTTCTTAGCGTGAGAACTAAAGTGTTTATTTTGAAGCTTATATTTTATACTTTTTGTGTTTGTATTTCTTCATCCTAAACTCTCTTCGCAACCAAACTCTCAGCATCTCCTACCGTAATGCCCTGCGGAAAAAACTTCGTTCTTCTTCCTCTGTGCCAAACTTTCTAAAATTTCTGGCTCCTGTAGATGAAAATAACACCTCTGACTTTATGAACACAAAAAGGTAGGGTTTACTTGATATATATCAAGCCTGGGTACAAGTGTTGAACTATTGATATACAAGGATGTTCAGCTGTTTTTGTAACACTTAAATTATTTTAGCTAAAGGGTTGTATCTTTTTTCTTATACTTTCTTATCCAATGTCACTTAAAAAGAGTCAACTTGTTCCCCAGTTTTGACTAGGAGGAGTTTATTACTGCATTGCTTTCAGAAGCTTCAAGAAAGTCTTAACGGGTTCTATCAGGGGTAGCAGTGTTTCTGGACAGCAAGCGTAGGCCGTGGTGGACGAGTCGGGAGGTCTGATGTGTAAGCTACGTGACGACTTAGCTGCAGGTGGAAGGTACCAGGCTCCCCACCGTGTCCTACAAATGGAAAGATGATCACTGACTAGACTATAAGTGTTGTGTTGACATATAAATATGCTTTTATTGTAGTTTTAAAAATATAAATGTTAAGATTGTTGTTGTTAGCAAGTAACCACGTAATCGTTGTCTGGATCGGTCTGTGTAATTGAACTTTTCTCATGTCTGTGGCCCTCTGTGGAGGTGCAGACCTGGGCCGAGAAAACGTTCCCCCGCCGCAGATCAGGGTGTGCGGTGCCCGTCAGCACTTTCTCTTTTTTGAAGTGGCACCAGGAAAGGAAATGGGAAGCTAATGATCCGTGGAGCATATTATTAATGCCTTTTACAGTGGAAATGAATTAAGGGCATGTAATCTTGCTCTTCTCATGAAATGCATCCTATAAGAAAGCAGTGCCTTCGGAGTCCTAACCAGCTGTGGGCTTGATTCAGCAGCCATAATTGTCTGATTATGTTCTTTTATACAAAGATAATTTATAATGTAGTGTTTTGTTTAAAAACAAAAAGTGAAGCCAAAATGCCCGATCACATGTTCCCGTCAGTCATCAAGCAATCATCTTGCCCTTTCAGGGACTTGGACTCCAAAGCTAACCACCTTGGCGATGCCAGCGGGACCCCCGTGAAGACGCGGAGACACTCCTGGAGGCAACAGATCTTCCTCCGAGTGGCGACCCCACAGAAAGCGTGCGATTCTCCCAGCAGATATGAAGGTACCGGACACTCTGGAAGTGAACCGGTTAGGTGCTTGGTGTGGGTAACAATGGTGCGTTGGGTGAAAGGAGAGCTGAAGTGGGATTTCAAGTCAGAATTGTCCCCCGGTGTTAAAGCTGCCTAGGTAAGGAGCTCACATGACAAGGTGCCGCGGTTTCCGGAGGGTCCCTTCGTTCCAGGGAAACCCGTGAGAGGACTCGCAGCCGCAGGCCCTCGTGTGACAGTGACACCTCTGCCGAGCCGCGGTGACGGCTCACCCACCGTGCGTGTGGCAGCGTGGAGGCGCTCAGCCCGAGGCCCCCCCCTCGCCTCCTTCCCTCGCCCCGCGTTCCCACGTGTGTCTGCGTTCCCTGTCTGCCCTCCGAGGGTCGGTTCACCACTGCCTGGTTGCAGGGGTGCTCCCCGTCCCCGCGCTCTGGTTCCATATGTCCGTGCCTCTTCTGTGGCTGTTCCTCGGTCTGGAGTCGGGGGGAGACCATCTTGTGCCCTCCCGTTCCGCTTGTGTCTGCCAGGCAGAGTAAACCCAAGTCTGTCTCTGGGCCTCCCTGTGTTGAGTTACAGTGTGAAAAGTGAGTTTAAATCCAGTTCTGAACTTAAAGATTTTTCTTGGCCCAGATTTGTCAACAGCAGGTATTTCTTTTCCATAATGTTCCTTAATCAGAAAACATTTTTTTTTCTTTAGAAAAGCAACACAAAACAGTAGATGTTCAAAGATTACTTGAGTTCCTTGGGTCGCGTGTAGCAAGCTCCTTCTTGTCCCTCAAAGCACTTCTGTGCATCTGTTAAGGAAGCAGCACAGGCTGCCCTGAGAGTTTCCAGAGCACTTCCCCGCTCCTGCCCTGGGGGAGGACCCCGGCCCCTCCTCATACTCCTCACCCTCTGCCCCCTTTTTCCCTCTTCCTCCCTCCCCTCCCCCACCTCCCCAGAGTTCTCCCTAACATGTAATTTAAAAAAGTATTCTCTGCCAAATTATTTTAGAAGTTTATTTATTTATTTAGAGAGGGAGAGCACGTGCAAGTTGGAGAGGGGCATAGAGAGGAGGAGAGAGAGTCGTGGGCAGGCTCCACATGCTCAGCATGGACCTGACACGGGGTTCGAGCTCATGAACCATGAGATCATGACCTGGGCTGAATCAAGAGCCAGACATTTAACCAGCTGAGCCACTTAGGCGGCCCTCCTTTGCCAAATTAAACAAGAGCCTGGTTTAGGCTCCACCAGCTTTGCGATATAAATCATCAAACTTCACTTACCTTGAGTCGTGAAATGGATATAGTGAATGTTGGCTCTTCCAAGCTCATGGGATGACATTAAATTATAAATGCGAAAGTACTTTGGAAACCTAGAGACATATCAAATGTAAAGTGATACACTTTTTGTTAACGTTATTGAGATTGGATCGCTGGTGTTAAGATTCCTATACTGTTGTTCCCCAGCAAGAGCAATATTAAAGGAACACTGAAAGACTGGGTTTATAAATACAGTCATATTTTTTTTTAAGTCATTAAATTGAGTTATTTCAGTGTGAATCAGCTTAGAAAGTTTAGGATTTCATTTTTGTAGACTCTCTGGTAATGTCCAACAGCCAGATGGTGTGACCTAGTTCCCTCTTTAAATTTCTAAGCCAAAGGGGTCTGCTGGGCTGGCGGCTGTGGAAAACAGCAGGCTTGTAAAGTGCACAGCCTAGGGGGCTGTACTTCGAAGGGAGCTCCGACCACTGAGGAAACACAGTGAACTCTGTAGGCCCTGCCCTGGGACCGCTTGCTTTTTGCCCGTGTGAGAGAGTGTGGCAAGTTCCCGGATGGGCACTGGTATCTCCCAGTTGGTGTCTGAGGAACCGGAGTCAGAAGGTTAGTCAGTGCTGGCAACTGCTTCTCTGGAGGACCCCAAGGTCAAATGGGAGAGTGGAATGAGCTGCAGGCAGCACAAGAGAATGTGACCTTGTGTGGCCCATCTGGTAGAAGCACCAACCCCACTGCGGGTGTTCAGCTTCTCTTTTTGGAAGCTTCTGTTTTTAATTGGTTTGGTCTGGAAATACTGTATGAAGCGGATGTTTCACCCCAAGCTGCATTCTTACTTATGGTGTTTGCCGTTGACAGGGCTCCTAGGTGAATTCTGGGCTAATCAACACTGTAGGGCAAAAGTTTGTAGGGAATGGATGGGATGATGGGTTGTTCTGCTAGAGGCCGGAGCACTGAGTGGATCCCCCCATACCCCGAAGCCTGGGCAGCACGCCTCTCAGGACCTGAGGACAGAGCACTTGTTATTTTCTGTCTCCCCCACTGGACACAGTGCTCAGGAGTACTGAAGGTCCACCTGGAGGGGCCCCCCAGGGTCCCTCGCTAATTGATGGAAAGCAGAGAGCTACCTTGGTCAGCCCAGAAGGGCCTGGGGTGGCTGCGAAGGTGAACTTAGGGAAGGAATTTAGAGCTCATTGAGGGACCTCTTCTGAGGTCTGGAGCAGAGTGGCCACACTTAAGTCCCAGCTTTTCCCCTTAAGAGCCATGAACGAGACTTCTCCCCTGTGAACAGGATTAATTGTGCCTGTTGCCACACTGACTGACATGAGGCAGCATGATGTGTGTTTCTACTGACAATTTTTAAAAATGTTTGTTTATTCTGACAAAACGAGAGAGAGGGAGAGAGAGAATGAGCAGAGGAGGGACAGAGAGAGAAAGTGGGGGAGAGAGAGAATCCCAGGTAGGCCCCACACTGTCAGCGCAGAGCCCCATGGGCGGCTTGATCTCACCAACTGTGAGATCATGACCTGAGGCAAGATCAAGAGTTGGATGCCTAACTCACTGAGCCACCCAGGTGCCCCTCTTCCGACCTTTTATTTAAAAGCTTTCAGAATTCATAGATTAGAAAGAACATCAGTGAAGCGAAGGTTTCCAGTGTAAAGTTCTCTCCTGAGGTGTGGAAGGTCCCTCTGGTTCTCCGGGCGCCCTGCTTCTTCTGCCTCAGTCCTTCCACTTGGGGGCGCCGTGGAGCCTTCCTGCCCCTGGGGGCACTGCCTTGCTGGGTGGCAGGGGCGTGGATTCCTCTAACTGCCCACGTGAGCGGGGTGGCTGTGCCTCACTCTTCCCTGCCGCAGTGGGGAGGCCCACCGGCGGAAGCGTTTCCTCCCAGGCCCTGGCAGCGCCCTGCGAGGGGGCGGGGAGGGCGGGGGGGGAGGGGGCGGGGGGGGGGGGGGGGGGGGAGGGCGGGGGGGGGGGGGGGGAGAAGGAGCAGGGACCGGAGGGAGACGCAGGAGGGGGAGCTGACCTGTGATTTGTGGCCGAAACAGCAGAACAGCAGTAACCCCAGCAGTGGGGTTTCGAGGTTTAAAAATAGTGCCCCGGCATCTCTGCAGGGGTTGCGGAGACTGGCCTGTGGTGATGTGTTTTACTCATCGAAACGGGCAGCAGTGATGGGCTTAAAACCCTAGGTGCTGGGAGGCTGGGAGCGTAGTAAGGGCCGTGGGCGACCGTGGGAAGCCGCCTGCCCCATTTTAGAACAGTTCTAAAGTTTTAGATGAACTTCTTGGATTGAGCCACATCCGGCTCCCTGTCCCTCATCCCTGGCCTCGGAAGCCACACAGAACGGGCTTGGACTTCCTGTTCCTCAGATGGAACGGGTTCCACTGCTTCCTCTCCAGCTCTTCCCCGGCCCAACTGCCTTCGTTCCTCGTACAGATGACCGCTGAGTCCCCTCCAGCCCGAGCCCGGCCCCTGAGCACACGCTGCCCCGGCTGCGGGGCCCTGTGCCCCCCGGGGCTCCTCCCGGGCTGACCAGGCGCTCCCCTGCGCCGCCGCCTCTGACTGGCCACTCAGTGTTTCCTCAGGGTGGCCTCCCCTTCTTGATCTGTGTCTGCTCTGAGTAGTTAACTCACGTTCCTGGCTCTCACTGGATCCTCTCCGTGGGGGTGGTAACTGTTACTTAAAAATTGGGCTGACTTCTACATGTACTCGAAAGAGATTTTTTTTTAAAAATCGGTTTCCCAAGCACCTTGTACCTGTGAAGTGCTAGAGCATTGGTTTTGGTCAGTCTTTTGGGGATTTTGTTTTTTTTTTTTTTTCTTCTTTTTTAATGTTTTATTATTTGAGAGAGAGAGAAGGGAGAGAGAGGACCTGTGCGCAAGTGGGGGAGGGGCAGAGAGCGGGACAGAGGGTCTGAAGTGGGCCCTGAACTGCCAGGCTGCTGACTGAACCCCTCAGGCCCTCCCTTTGGGATGGTTTTGAAGCTTGATTCTGGCGATGAGTAGATGAGCCCGTTGTGGAGAGCACCGTGAAGTTGTGCGGCCACACCCTCTGTGCCTTTAAGTGCTGAACACAGCCGAGCCCTGCGTAGACACTGCTCCCGCCCTGCCCGGTCCAGACTCCTCAGGAGTCTCCCTCAGGCCCCAGCTATGCAGCTGTTATTCGTCTCCACCCCCTCCTGCAGGAAGGATCCGGGGAGGTCCCCATGTGTGCCAGGTGAGCACCATCGCATAGCTGTTCCCTCGGCCTGGAATGCTCTTCCCCGACATCCTCGTGATTCACCCCCTCACCTGCTTCAGACCATTCTTGACATTTCCTTTACAATGAGGCCCCTCCTGGCCACTGTGCTTCGGATCTGCACCCTCCCCTGCCACCTCCAGACATTCCCGACTGCCTTGTCCTGACTTGCCCAGGGCACTTACCTCCCTGGAGCGTGTTCTGGCCGTCACTTAGGATTCTGTCATTGGTTTCTCTGTCCTTATGGGTTTGATGACTTTTAAAGGAAGGCAAGTAAATTGCTCAGAGTTTTACAAACTTACTTGTTCATTAGTGATTTCTTACCTCCTTTTCCCTTCCTCCTCTGTAAGAACACGTCCTTTATGTTCTTTTTATAGAATTAAATACCATAAGAATTTTGGGGTTATATTGTAGGTACTCTGTATGAGAGGGGAAGAGAGAGAATGAAAGCATTTAGCACTCTGGGTTGGTATAATAATAATCAATTATGCTGTTACTACGGCAGGTGCTTTATAGGAATTATTTCC